CCATAATTTGAAGCTCATTCTAGAACAGCGATGAATAGTACATATTCTTATTATGACACTCTAACGCAAAAGCGGGTAGACATAAACTTCCACCATTTAAAAAAGATGAGCTTCCACTAAATACTACTATTAAATATAGCCATTTCGCTAATAAGAAAAAAAAAACTACATATACAGATTTGATTGAACATTAAGGGAAGTTCTTTTTTTAATATTGATTTTAAGATGATTCTGTCTTTTTTTTTATATTAAGCCATTCACTACAAGCAAGGCAAAAATGCCATTAAGAAGCAAAGGCTACTGAAAGTGAAGGAGAATTTACTGAGGAAAAAGAAGTGAACGAAACTGAGAATACGTTACTGAAAAGAAGAGACAAACACAAACAGTGAAGGAAACAGAGAATACGTTACTGTGGAGAAAGGACAATAAAAAGAAGTGAGGCAAACTGAGAAAAACGTTAGTGAAGAGAAAGAACAAAGAAAAAAGTGAAGGAAACTGAGAATACGTTACTGAGGACATAAGACAAACAAAAGAAGTGAAGGCAAGTGAAAGATACGTTACTGAGGAGAAAGAACAATAAGAAGTGAAAGAAACTGAACAAACGTTACTGGAGAGAAAGGACAATCAAAAGAAGTGAATCAAACGGAGAAAAAGTTACCGAGGAGAAACAAAAGAAGTGAAGCGAAGCAAAGGAAATTATACTGAGAAGAAAGAACAAACAAAATAAGTAAAAGGAGGTAAATGAAACGATACGGAGAAAAGACAATAAAAAGCAGTGAAGAATACGGAGAGAATGTTACTGAGGAGAAAGGACAAATAAAAAAAACTGAAGAAAAATGAAAAAACGTTACTGAAGAGAAGGACAATCAAAAGAAGTGAAGCGAAGTGAAGGAAACAATACTGAGGAGGAAGGACAATAAAAAGAAGTGAACGAAAGAGAGAATCCGTTAGTGAAGAGAAGGACAATCAAAAGAAGTGAAGCGAAGTGAAGGAAACAATACCGAGGAGGAAGGACAATAAAAAGAAGTGAACGAAAGAGAGAATCCGTTAGTGAAGAGAAGGACAATCAAAAGAAGTAAAGCGAAGTGAAGGAAACAATACCGAGGAGGAAGGACAATAAAAAGAAGAGAACGAAAGAGAGAATCCGTTAGTGAAGAGAAGGACAATCAAAAGAAGTGAAGCGAAGTGAAGGAAACAATACTGAGGAGGAAGGACAATAAAAAGAAGAGAACGAAACAGAGGATCCGTTACTGAAGAGAAGGACAATCAACAGAAGTGAAGTGAAGTGAAGGAAACAATACTGAGGAGGAAGGACAATAAAAAGAAGTGAACGAAACAGAGAATCCGTTACTGAAGAGAAGGACAATCAAAAGAAGTGAAGCGCAGTGAAGGAAACAATACTGAGGAGGAAGGACAATAAAAAGAAGTGAACGAAACAGAGAATCCGTTACTGAAGAGAAGGACAATCAAAAGTAGTGAAGCGAAGTGAAGGAAACAATACTGAGGAGGAAGGACAATAAAAAGAAGTGAACGAAACAGAGGATCCGTTACTGAAGAGAAGGACAATCAAAAGAAGTGAAGGAAATGATACTGAGAAGATAGGACCATAAAAATAGTGAACAAAACTGGTGAAACGTTACTGAGAAGAAAGAACAATCACAAAATTGAAGGAAACTGATAATACGTTACCGAGGGGGAGGATAATCCAAAGAAGTGACGGATGACAAGCAACTGTGAAATGTCGTTTAGGAGAGAGAACAATTAGAAGGACTGAAGGGATGTCAGCTGATGGATTTCGATGCATGGCTTCCCAGCGTTAATTTCTCTGACATGTTCCTCTAAGCAATTACGCCTAGTTATTATTTTTTCCTCATGCAAGCCAACGACTATATATATATATATATATATATATATATATATATATATATATATATATATATATATATATATATATATATATATATGTTGCGTAGGCTAAGTTGAACACAAATGTTGTCACAGAAATTAATGCCGGGAAGTCGTGCGTTGATGTCCATCAGGTGACGTCACTTCACTTTTGTACAGACAATGGTTGAAAGAGGAAGGTTATTCGAATTATTACCATTAATGCAAGAAGAAAAAAAAATGTCTCTTTCGATATGAATAATGAATACGAAATTAATTTCCCAGTGAGAGTTCATTTTGTGTCTATTGTATATACTGACTTAATAGAATATTCCATGTTCGCCACAAAACTGACAACGGTTTTATAGAAGAATGAATAGTCAAAAAAAAAAAAGGGCGAAGCTTTGAATAAAAAAAAAGAGTCTATTGGTGATTTGAAATATACAAAATTGGCTTTGTTGTAAAAAGAATTAATTACTAATTGGGCCTCTTCTTTCCAATAATTTGCCGTCGAGGTAAACGCCCCAGATAATCAGAATGTTGTGCGTCGTTGATATCTGTGTGGGCATATGTACAAAAGATTTTTTTTTTCATTCCTGTTACTCTTTTTAAAACGATTTTTCCTGTTGTCTTCTTACCAATTGGCTCCTCCGAATAAAATTCTTTGTATTTAGTTTAAAGGGAGACTCATCGACGCCGTGTTACGCTTAGATCAATTATAAATGAGAAGTGAGTTTAATCCTCACTAAGCGCTCCACACGTTCGACCTTGTGCCATACCTAAGCTACGCTTATTATATCGTTAGGGTACTTCTTACTGTTCGCTATTAGCTTTAAAGGAGCAATCAGAACTTCATGCTCTCGTTGCTCCTGTAAAGCTAATAGCGATGGATCACATCTGGTTTCAATGACGATTTTCTATGGCAGGAAGTACGGGAAACCAGTGAGGATCGAACTCACTACTCCGTGGTCATTGATCTACCGAGACTAGTTCGCTAACCGTAACACCATGTCGAAGTGTCCTAACGATATACTAAGCGTAGCTTAGGTGTGGCACAAAGTCGAACATGTGGAGCGCCCAGTGAGGATTAAACTCACTTCTCATTTATGATTGATCTAGCGAGACAGATTTGCTAACCATAACACAGCGTCGAAGTACCCTAACGATATAATAAGCGTAACTTAGGTATGGCACAAGGTCGAACATGTGGAGCGCTTAGTGAGGATTAAACTCACTTCTCATTTATAATGGATCTAGCGAGACATGTTCGCTAACAATAATACCGCGTCGATGTGCCCCAACGATATAATAGGCGTAGCTTAGGTATGGCACAAGGTCAAACGTGTGGAGCGTCCAGTGAAGATTAGACTCACTTCTCATTTATAATTGATCAAGCGAGACATATTTGCTAATCATAACACCACGTCGAAGTGTCCTCTAACAATATTCTAAGCGTAGCTTAGGTGTGGCACAAGGTCGAACGTGTGGCGCGCCCAGTGAGGATTAAACTCATTACTCAGTCGTAATTAAACTAGCAAGTCAAGCTTGCTGTTAACTGTTACACGGCGTCGAAGTTTCCCAGCTGGTTTTAACGACTGCTAAACGATTCCTTGTTACTGAGGGCGATAAGAAATTCTACCGTTAAAGTCAAGTGATGTAAAACTGATAAAAGTATTCAAGCAATTAAATCTGTGTCATAGATTTTAAATTGACACCACACCCCGTCTTACACCAAGGCAAATGAAATGAATTGGCCAATACCGTTGCCATCTATGACCTGGTGCCCCCACTGTTCATCTCGAACTTCTCGACAACATCCAAAGATGGATATGCTATGTGATAGGTCCTGATCTGGCATCTCGGTTCCAGTCACATTCTCAGTGATATGATGTGGCTTCCCTCGGTCTTTTCTAAAAAAAATATTTTCATAGTAACTGCTATGACGTGCTATTTTCACTGGTGTCCACACTGCATGAATTTAAGCGTGCTACTAGGTTGGCATCTCAATCCCAACCTTTTACCGTCGAAACAGTTAAATGTAACAGCTTCTTCTGCTCCAACAGCTTCTCTCACACTTACCGACATTGGAACGCTTTTACTCTTAATAGCTTCCCTGATAACTGTAATCTTCATAAATTTAAATTTAATGTCAATCGACATCTTTTGATACTTTCTTCTTGATCTCCATCCTTCTCTTTATCCTTTCTTCAAACACCCCCCTTTACTCTTACTCTCACTCTCTTTAACCCCTTGCGTGCTACTGGCACTCCCGCCTTGCTTGGGATGAAATGCTTAAAAAAATTATAAATATCTGTTTTACAGCCTTTATGGTCAGTTATGGTTGGGAATATCAGGCGCTATTGAGATTGGATGTGCGGGTGATCTAATCGATAATGACTCGGAATTGTAAATCAGAGAGCCGAGTTCCAGTTCCAGCTGGGTTCGTTATATTCACTTACGTACATATATCCTTGGGAAAGGCTAGAATCCACCTGTTCTTCCCAAGCTTTGGGTTAATTAAAGACTTGTAACCATTGCTATCTAAAAAAAAATTCTTAAGTCTGCACGATTAGCTTTGATTGTTTTGTCTCTGTGTATTGTGTAGCCCCATAAATTTGTTACAGATCCTATGTCCGTAACCGGGTCTGGGTGGTGTTCATACCAATTTCTTTCAGTTTTCTTTCCGTAGAAGTTGTAGATTTTTCCAGTGCAGATATTGGCCCACTCTGTCATGCCAGGTTTTATACTCAGTGGGTGCCAATATTGTGCAACCTGATATAAGATGATCAATTGTTTCTGGATATTTATCACAAAATCTGCATTTTAGGCTAACACCATATTTTACTATGTGTGCTTGATAATTTCCAGTTAACAAGCATTGGTCCTGTGCAGCCAGGATAAAACCTTCTGTTTCAGCTTTTAACCCTGCACTACGCAGCCACTGATGGGTATGGGGCTTGTCTACATCAGCTTGTTTGGTACGGGCAGAGTATTGGCCATGAAGCGATTTATCTTGCCATCGTTTCTGTATCTGGTCGGTTGCAAATATTATTATTATTATTATTATTATTATTATTATTATTATCATCTATCGCTCTATCTCAGTATCTGGTTCA